GGCTTGATTTCGACCACTATGTAATGGATGTTACGGTTCACTTTCGTTTGTAAGAGTTTGTGCTCACAGAAAGATGTGTTTACTACGTGATGATTTTTTTGCAGCTGATTGAACAAATTATGCCTTTAAGTATTGAACCTATATACACATGCATAGGTATTCACACTTACGCTTACGCACACTCATATACATCATTGTATCCGAACAGTTATATATACACATAAAAAAACTTTTTTTTTTTTTTTTTTTTCCCAAAATAAATAATAAATTTTTAATTACATCACTTTACAAACATAATCCTAAGTTTTTTTTTTTTTTTTTTACTTCTTCTTTTATTTTTCGTTTCTTGTTTTTTTTTTTTCACCCTTTATAGTTTATATTTTTTATATTGTGAATGTTTTATTAAAATTGGGGTGTATATATATATATATAGCAGCTGTACACACCACCGTTGGAGCCACACGCAAGTGTGAGTAACGATCCAAGAGCAAGTCTTACCCGACACTATTTCCGATGATATCCCGGACGTCAGTCTGAGCGAGATTAGAATGGCTCTCCAGCACCTTAAAAATGGCAGGGCCCCAGGCAAGGATGGAATTACAGCGGAGCTTCTGAAAGCGGGTGGAACACCGGTACTTGAAGTCCTTCAGAAGCTCTTCATTTCCGTCCTCCATGGTGGCACTACTCCGGAGGCGTGGAGCAGAAGTGCGGTGGTCTTGTTCTTTAAGAAAGGCGACAACGCTCTCTTGAAGAACTACCGACCGATTTCCCTTCTGAGCCGCGTCTACGTGCTGTTTTCGAGAGTCATTACGAATCGTCTCGCACGCAGACTCGACGACTTCCAGCCTCCCGAACAAGCCGGTTTCCGAAAAGGCTTCAGTACCATAGACCACATACATACCCTGCGGGAGATTGTACAGAAGACCGAAGAGTACAATCTGCCACTTTGCCTGGCGTATGTGGACTATGAGAAAGCCTTTGATTCCGTCGAAATTTGGGCGGTGCTACAGTCCCTTTAGCGGTTGACTGTCGGTATATCGAAGTGCTGAAGTGTTTGTACAGTAGGGCTACGATGGCTATCCGAGTACAGAACCAGAGTTCGAAACCTATCCAACTGCAGAGAGGTGTAAGACAGGGTGACGTTATGTCCCCGAAACTCTTCACCGCTGCGTTGGAAGACGTTTTCAAGCTACTGGACTGGAAAGGATACGGTATTAATATCAATGGCGAGTACATCACTCACCTTCGATTTGCGGACGATATAGTCCTTATGGCAGAATCGCTGGAGGACCTTAGCACTATGCTCAATGACCTCAATGATGTCTCCCAACGGATAGGTCTTAAGATGAACATGGACAAAACAAAGATCATGTTTAATGTCCATGTCACGCCTATGCCGGTAGTTGTTGGGAGCACTATGCTCGAAGTTGTTGACGAGTACGTTTACGTGGGACAAATAGTCCGACTTGATAAGTCCAACTTCGACCGAGAGGTCAATCGACGAATTCAACTCGGCTGGACAGCGTTCGGGAAATTACGACACATTTTCTCGTCAGGTATACCTCAATCTCTGAAAACTAAAGTGTACAACCAGTGCGTGTTGCCAGTGATGACTTACGGATCAGAGACGTGGTCCTTCACTGCTGGCCGTATGAGGACGCTCAAGGTCGCTCAGCGAGCTATGGAGAGGGCTATGCTCGGAGTTTCTCTGCGTGATAGACACAGAAATGAGGATATCCGCAGTAAAACTGGAGTGACCGACATAGCCCAACGGATTAGTAAGCTGAAGTGGCAATGGGCCGGCCATATAGCTCGAAGAACCGATAACCGATGGGGAAGGAAAGTTCTCGAGTGGCAGCCTCGTACCGGTAGGCGTAGTGTAGGGCGACCCCCACTAGATGGAGTGACGACCTGGTAAGACATGCAGGAAGTCGGTGGATGCGGGTGGCTGAGGACCGTGCTTTGTGGCATTACTTGGGGGAGGCCTATGTTTAGCAGTGGACTTGTGAAGGGCTGTAATGATGATGATGTTTATATATATATATATATATATATATATATATATATATATATATATATATATATATATATATATGGTGTAGCCAAAATAGTTCTTTTAATTTCTATTTTAGTAGTCAACATGAACAACTTTTACAATGAATATCAGCTGGAAGTCTGTACCAAGCAAACATAATAATGATAGATAGATAGATAACTCTTTATAGTATAAAGTTATTACAATAACGGAAAACTTATGAACTACAAACGGTGGTCATATCGCTTTAAGCGATTTCTACCTGACAAACCGAATGTGAAAGGATATTGTAATTTTATTTTTTAACGGGTAGTTGCAACGTGCAATATAAGATAACTACATAAAAAGGAAAAAATATTATTATCAAAAATATTATTCGTAAAAATATATGAATAATATATATAATATTGAATAAACAAATATAATAATAATAATAATGACTGTATTACACGTATACTTATTTATTATGCTGCTGATAGACAGACATACGGACAGCGGAGTCTTGGTTCCCGCTGACACTATTTGTTTTATTTGTTATTTTTTAACTTTTAGTAATAAAAATATATAATACAATTAATAAAACAACTCATAAATATTAGGTCATTGGAACACCAGCTGATTAGTGTTTTCGTCGTGGTCGACCAGCTGGTGATTTTCTGGTCTACCTGACTCATAGATGGGCGGCGGCAGAAGAGTCCTAGAGGGATTGGCCGTTAGTTTCGACATTGCGAAGGCCTTCAATCGGGTTTGGCACAAAGCGCTTCTTTCGGAGCACCCGTGCTATGGGCTTCCCGAGAAATTGTGTAATTGGATCACCAGCTTTCTTGCAGATCGGAGCATTAAGGTCGTTTTAGACGGTGCAAGCTCCGATTACAAGCCTATTAATGCTGGTGTTCTATAAGGCTGCGTGCTGTCACCAACGTTGTTTCTTCTGTATTTCAATGTTACTGCAAACTGGCAACATTTATTGCTATGCAGATGACAGCACTGGTGATGCTCTGTACACCGGCCGAGCTAATATTTCTTGGGAAAACATCTCCGAGTACCGGGAAAAACTTGTGTCTGAATTCGAGTCTTTGCTGAACAGAGTCTCGGATTGGGGGCGATTAAATCTAGTCCAGTTTAACCCTCAGAAGACACAAGTTTGTGCGTTAACCGCTAGAAAGAACCCCTTTGGCGTATCCCCTCAGTTTCAAGGCACCCCCCTTGTTGCCTCAGCTAGTATCGAAATCATCGGCGTCGACATATCGAGTGACGTGCAGTTTCGTGATCACTTGGAAGAGAAGGCCAAATTGGCTCCTAAAAAGCTTGGCGTGCTCAGCAGAGCGGGACAGTATTTCATGCCGGCACACCGCCTGTAACTTTACAAGGCGTAGGTTCAGCCGTACATGGAATACTGTTCCCATCTCTGGGCTGGGGCTCCCCAGTGCCAGCTCCTTCCACTTACTGCATCCAGTGCAAAACGGCTCGAATCGTCAACGACCGAGTGCTTTCGGATCGGCTCGATTCACTAGCGCTGCGAAGAGATGTTGCATCTCTTTGCATTTTCTTTCGCATATACCACGAGGAGTGCTCTGAGGAATTGTTCGGATTAAACCCAGCCGCCAAATTTCGTGAACGCACTACGCGACAAACGTCCGGATACCATCCACACCATCTGGATGCATGGAGGTCCACCACTGTACGTTTCACAAGGAGTTTTCTTCCGCGTACGACCTCTCCTTGGAATATTTTACTACCGGCGATTTTTCCGGACCGATACGAACTAGAGACCTTCAAGAAAAGAGCTTACTCCTTTCTAAAGGGCCGGCAACGCATCTGCGATTCTTCTGGTGTTGCGGATGTTCATGGGCGGCAGTAGTCACTTGACATCAGGTGCACCGTATGCTCGTTTGCCCCCTCTTCTATAAAATAAAAAAAAACTGTTTTCAATACTGACGCAGACATGTTGGTGGGTACAGAGTGAATACAAGTTTTAGTTATTTTTAGATGAATATACTAGATAGTCCACTAGTATAGTCGATGTCAGAACCTCGTGAGTCAGTTAGAAGGTTGGTAGAGCTGCAGCTATATTACTGTTCCAGCACTAATAGGTCAGCTCAGCCGGGGAAGAACCACGCTCTCACTGAATACCAGCGTAAAATAGTAGCTCAATATTGCTGTGTTTCGTATGGAAGGTGTCGAGGATTGGAGACAATTTCACTGAAAACTTGGCATTCCATCTTAGTCTACAGGGTTGACAATGCATCTGTAATTTGATTTTTAATTGAGGTTAAATGTAAATGTCTATGTTTCATATCATATCCACTTACTATCAGGTGCACTGTGTGCTCGTTTTGTCAGCTTTATTCTTTAAACAAACAATGTTTCTAATTTTCGTTAAATGTTACTTTTTGTTTTACTTTTACTACGTGGTAGGACTTCTTTTCTACTTAAGAGTCCATCTGGGTAGATCCCATCCTCTTACTTGCTTCTACCACCAAATGGCAGTGCTTGCACTGCTTTGTTCCCGTCTGAAGGTTATAGAGAGCCAGTTTAATTAAAGGCTGTGAACCATTGCATCTTAGTCCTCAGGGATGACAATGAATCTGTAGCCTCTTTATATGAAGTTGGCTGAAGGTGTCCATTTACCATCATATAGCCTATAAGTTCTTTTGTCACTTTAATGGTTTTGGCCGTGCAAGAAAAAGGTGAGATCTCCCGCCGGGCAGGTGTTCAGTCCGGGAGCGGCCACCGTGCGTTACGACAGATCTGTTCTATAGAAGCACAGTACTTCGAAACGTTGATAGTGCGATTTAGGTACTATGTTTCGCTATTAATCTAGATTCCAATATAATTTTGTTAATCCAGTTACGACTGGCGCGGCCCTTGGTAAAACTAGGTCAGGTATAGTTAACTGAAATGCTAATTAAGCTGTTGACTGTGACATATACACGATAATAAAAACCAGTTTTCATGAATAAGTTCATCTAGATTTTAATAAAAAATCAGCAAGTCTTTCACCGTAAGCTATCGCAGTTGCAGCAGTGTTTCCGCGAGGTAGATGGGGCACCGCAGACGCATCCGCTACCCGCAAATTCTTAATACCAAAAACACGCAGTTTCTCGTCTAGTACTCTTCCCAGTGCTGCCGTACCCACTGCGTGGTACACTGAAAACGTCATGTGCCTCGAATAACATCGCCAGTAATCATTGCCATCTAGCCCTTTGCAACCGGACAAGTTAAGACGAAGAAGCGACGCTTTCTGTTGCTTAAATGGTGGTGTTTCCATAAGATCTTCAACGATATTGATAGCACGTACCATTTCGTCTACATCTGTATCATTTTGTAAATAGTTTGGTGTTATGGCAGGTGGGACGAGCGGATCGGCACTTGCTAGACGTACAGATCCTCTTGACGCCGGTTGCAGCACCACTGGAGACAGGACTATGAACGCATATTTTTTATTCGTTTCAACTAATTGATCCAATACTTCATTAGTAAACTGCAACGATCGTGATATGAATGACCTACCTACGACCAACAGTGTCCTTGGTATAAACGCGTGTATGAACTGTAAAGTTGGTAACTCACATTCAGCGCTGTCATTGGTAAGCCGTTTTTTGTTAAAGTCGTAACATTTTGTGTTGACGAACGCCGTTATATCAGTGAGACCATTTGACGCCAAAGAACCTTTACGTGTGGTCAACCATTCAACACCTGCTGTTCCTTGAGTCACTAAAGTAAATAGAGCAGAATATTGGTCTACATCTCTGTTGACTTTAATAAAAAGCAAAGGTAAAACGTGGTCACTCATACCGTCTCCGACATTCAACTTTTTCCGTACCGGTATATTAAAATCACGTAAGTGATCCGCTGGACCTATACCTGAAAGCATTAATATTTGGGGTGTTCCAATGGTACCAGCTGACAAAATAACTTCTTTTCTTGCCTTTAAACTTAATGGAAAGCCCAAAAATTTCACTGTCACACCTTTCGCTACTCGATTCCGATCTATTATGACCCCAGTGCAATACGTATTTTTAGCAAGTTTTAGATTTTCTTTCACATCCTTTCTAGTGAGATATGCTGTAGCTGTACTGACGCGTTCTCCGCCAGACACGTAGCCTAGACTTTTGCTAACACCAATCTGACTTAACGCATTTACATCCTCGTTGAAAGGAAAATTTAAACTTGTATAACTTCTGATGATTCTCCCGTGCCAATCATTTTTCGGGTCTACGAAAAATCCAACATGAACTAAACCCTCGGTGTTATGGTAGGGCTCAGAAGATAACGGAAGACGATCTAAGTCTTCCAACCCTTCATATTTTAAGAAGTATTGTTTCATATCCTCCCAGGTCCAGCCTGTGATATTCAATCTATCGAAGTCATTGCGATTGCCTCGTACATACATCATGTAGTTAATACTCGTGGAACCGCCTAAGCATTTTCCGCGACTGAAGCGGCACTGCTGGTCAATCGAGGAGAGACAGGATACATTATTAGGAATGGTTTTTTAGTACCAGTCGAGATTACTACCCATTAATGTCATTGCACCACCAGGAATCTGTCGTCAATATAAACAAAATAGTATTAAATAACTGAGTTTTTGGGCTTAAATTTAAAATGTAATGTTAGAGTGAGAGTACGCTCTACGCATTTTTGGACTTATGAAGAGCTGTAATTATGATGATAATGATGACGTAATATCTTTAGGTGTTAAATGCTTACCCTTGTAGCCAAGGTAGGATTTCCACCAGCCTCTATTAACAACGTTTTCTTTCTTGCCATTGCGAGTCGACTTGCTACTGCCGTACCCGCTGCGCCCGCCCCAACTACTATGTAATCGAACTCCTGGCCATCTGTAAGATATAGGTAGCTACCAGGAAGACATTGGTAAACATATTGTGGTTAATCTTATCAGGCGGACTCCTGGCGTTGCGGTGTAAGAGAATCTACTACCACACATCATCTTGTGGGTGCCGTAAAAGACGACAGAGATAAACTAAAGTAGGAGTAAAATAGTAACAAGTCATTAAAATACAGCCTTTTGATGAATAATCTAACAAAATTTATAGTCTAACACCAGTAGCAAAAAAATATTATATAGTCCATAGGTATGAACGGATTAGTAAGCTAAATTGGCAGTGGGCCAGCCATACAGCTCGCAGAACCGTCAACCGATTGGGACGAAAGGTAACCTAGTAACAGTAAATGAAGTGTGGAGGGTCCCCCATAAAATGGAGTGATGACCCGCTAAGATATGCAGGAAGTCGGTGGATGCAAATAGCTCAGGGGTGTGCTTTGTGGCAATCCTTGGGGGAGACCTATGTTCAGTCGTGGACTTGTGAAGGGCTGTAATAATGATATAATGATGATGATGAGGCACGAAAGAAAGTCTAAGCTAATGGGTTAATAAGCGTAGCGCTTGTACATTTGAATTATTATTCCTATTTTCAATTATCAGTAGAATCTAGGTTCACCATTTTGGACTGTTTTGCTATCATCATTTGGTCAGAGTGACAAGTTTGACAGTTTTGACGTGAAAGCGTATTTAAATTTGCTCCCAAAGTGGATTCAGAAAACTGATGATAACAAAATCGGGGATACAGTTTGGTGTTGCAGTTACATATCTATCATCTACATTCAAAATTTAATTATACCACTCGATAGCTGAAGGATCTAAGAATTCATTGTTGAGTGGGGAATGTAACGCATTGGCGTCGGAGGAAGTAGCATCGCCATTTTGAGGTCGTTTTCCTGCGTGTCTTAAAATACACGGCTGTGTCCACGACACAGCCACACACCCAGTTTTTTCCTCAATTTCAATCTGTATCACTTCTAAGTAAGCGTTCAAGTGTGTTTGTAAGAAATACTCACCAAATGGTAATATCCCCAAAGGTAAGGTGTCTAGTTCTAAACCAGAAAGTGGGTCTTGCCCCTCAGATAAGATGTAGAATATTTCTATTACCAACCAGGTCAGAGGAACTGAAATAATTAATTTTACATACTATGTTACATACTTTGAAAAAATTATAAGGTCTTTACAAATAAAGAAAATTAAAATGAATAATTTTTATAAAAAAGTTTGATCATTCAAAATATTTGCCTAAGCTAATAACACACTCTTGCCATTTTATAGCCAATTTTTTGATGCCTTTATATTACTAGTATGCTGCAATAGCACCGATGATCTGCTGAAATGCGTTCTTTACTACTTCTTCGGACTGAAGCCAGTACACAAGGCTTCCATCTAGCTTTGCTGTTTTACATTCGCAGCCATTAGAGGGGGCGCTCTCCCCCGTGCATAAATACGTTCGAGATCACAGGTGAAGGTTGCTCTACTTCATTAAATATATAACTTATTAATATTTTTTCAAAAATATTCCTTTTACTTTTGTCGTAGTAGTATAATTTTTTACCTTTTTATATTTCATAAATGTCGTTTTCAGTAATGTTTATACGGGGTGTAGGTTTAAAAAGGATATATACAACCGAAGGAAAATAAAAACTGCCTCTTCATACAAATTTCGCCTCTACCTTGTACATTTTGTACTTTACTACTACTTTTACTACTATTTTTAATGACACAAGGATATTTCTTCTTTTTTCTATCCATCTTTTTTCGTTTTTTTTTTGGTATTAAATTGAAATTCTCCAAATATAAAAGTCCAAGTCAATTAATCTAATACTAATATAAACACTAATACACTAAAAACTAGAACTAATATGACAATTAAATAAAAATAATATATATTTAAGTAGAGCAACTTTCACGATATGCTCCGCTCAGTCCATAAGAGCTGCGCGAGGGAAAGAGATCAGCCGTGCGAGCGAGAGGTAAAGTAACGTTGAGTAACACTGCACACGTCTGAACGCCGAGAAATCCCAGTGGAACTGAGAGAATTTTCAGACGTTTCTGGTTTGTAAATGGAATATAAGTAAAGAGTACGAAAATATGTATATTTTTAATTTTATTTATTTCTAATTCACTTGAAAATAGTTCTATTTTATGTGGTTTTAAATACGACTTTGCTACGTTTATACTTCTAATAGAAAAAAATAGATATTTGCAGTAAAAAATCATGAAATTACAACTTGTTAAGCCCTTCAAATAAGAAAATTAAAGCATTTATAAAAAGTGACCAGATCAGATTATTGTAGACAATATTTAAATAAATGTGATCTAAATAATTTTCTTGATATTGTTACGAGCTTGAGGTTCGTGACAATAAAAATTGCCGATAGAATTACCTAAATTAACACTTTAATTTTCTTTACAAAAATTAAAACTTAAAACACTAACAATTAATCACACTGATTCACTTTATTCCGCTCCGAAGCTTCGCTTGTCTCGCCAAATTCAATACTTCCCCGATCGCACCTTGCAGCGCCTATAAATACACATTAGTACCGAATCATCCAGAACATTCAAGTAAATACGCGCACCAATCGACAAAGCGCCGAGAGTTCGAGAGTCAGCTTCCAGAAGCCTAGTTCTTCGTTTCGACAACAGATGGCGCTGTCGGTTGAAAGATTACGTCATTCGTCATTTTCTGGAAAGCTCTCTCTTCGCTCTGTTATCCGACACTAGATGGCGCTATTGCCAGATGTCAACCTAGCCGCGCAACATTATTATACATAGCAGAGGCTTTAATAAGACCTTTTACGCATGTAACCTAAACATAGGCATGTTTAACGCCTAATAGAGCCTTTAATTTAAACACCAAAATAAAATTAAAAAACAGTTTCGAAAATATCCTACATTTTAAATAAATGTAAAATATGTTTCAATTTTTCTTTTTTAAATACTATAAAAAATATTTGTTTTGCTGTAAATTTTGCTAGAACACTAATTTTTAAAGACTGGGCAAGAGCGTGCATTCGAATATGCGCAAGTTAAAATATACGCGATCACTCTAAAGCGGCGTAATATTGACTATTACTTGGGCCAGTTTTTCATGTCATAGAAATCGCTTTAAAATGGCTTTAAATTTGTATGGCATTCATTTTTTTTTGCTGTTTAGTTAGGGTCATATAATGTTCATGTACATTGATCGGTTATGACTATAAATTGTTTTAACTTCTTTTTCTATAACTTAGTGGACATTTTCATTTTGTGTTAAAATATTACGATTTATACTTTTAATTTTAAAGTTGCTGAGGGCGTAATTGTATATTGTATATTGGCTTTTTTGCTGACCACAATAGTTGTCAGAGTAAAATACTATTTCTAAACTATCATCATGTTAAGTCTCTTATTTATTCTTTACATTAGATAACACATATGACCCTATCTCATTAGTAACACGTTGATTTCACTTCTAACCTAAAATTCACAATAATCTTTTGCAAGTTCACAAACTGAAGTAACAAACGTTTTCTTTGACTTGTAATAGAATGCTGATATTTTGAACATGGGATGTGGCATAAACACTTGCAAATCGTAGCATGTTAGGTACCACAAACTTATAACTTAGCCGTTTTTCATTATGATGTTCTAAATATTTTCTTTACATAGCTTCTCTTTCTGATCCATTTAAAGTCTTATCAATGGAGCGTAATTCACACTTGTCCTTTTTGGAACGAAAAAACTAATATTAAAGTTCTGAGAGAAAACTTCACTACCAGTATGAAAGAAAGAAAGAATGTACATTTATTTAGCGAAATAGACGCACATAACATGATTTACCATTAAATAAATATCTTAATAAAATTATTATTAAATCTGACACTACCTAGAAATACAATCTATAAAAGTTGAATTATTTATAAACGTGTGTTAGTTGTACAATTAATATAGTGGTAAATAAGATATATTACTAAACTGGACCACTCGACAAACCTTTGGTAAGTGTATGTATGCGTCATTCAAACGAGATTAGTTAATTCAGCAATTTGAACTGATTTTCAGTGCCAAGCCCAATGAAATATCCATAGCCTTAGGACTCATATATTTTAAGAAAAAGTATTTAATGAATAATTACACCACAAAATATTAAAACATTGTGGCAGTTAACTAACAACATAAACAAAATCACTAGATGTAGCTGTAAAAAAATATTTACTCTTGCTTCAAGCCTCCACTTGTGTATACAAACACCATGGCATTTTGGTTATGGTTATGGTATTACGTAGGTAATTGTAATAATAATTCAAGAAAAAAACGTACACATTATAATAAATAAATATTGACGTATTTTAGGTTTACAAAATATTTTAACAGTTGAAAAAGTATCATTAAATAAACGGTGGCTCTTTTGTGAATCTTGTGACGGCGCATTATTATTAGTAATAAATACCAGAGTGGTCTGAAAAGTTTCTGACCTCAACGTCAAGATAGCAGCACGCGTCAATAAAAGCTAGTGAATGTAGTTGTACATCTTTTAACAGTGACGCACTAAAATTTTAGCC